GATGACTTCCCTTGAGATGACTTTTCTCAAGGAGGTGGTGTTAGCTTCACCTCAAGTCTGCTGTACGCACCACCAAACATTACCAAGGATCAGCCATGTGTTGTGAGTACATTCTCTTGCTCCATCAATCACTCACTGGGTAACATGCCCACACCTGCCTGTTACTTTGGGTACCACGCAGGCAACGATGTCCTGCCCATCAAACAGCGTGCCCCAGCCCCTTTGAATTTCAGCGCCCTGCTCCTCTTCTGTTTGGGTGTATTGCAATTGTGTCTGGTGGCGAGTGAGCCTATCCATCACTGTATCCACACAGATCCCAATTACTCCTTTTGACAGCTCTTATTCACACACCTCCCTGTGCCTCTGACATCTCAATTATTGATGGGGCTCTCCTGATAGGCAGCACTCTGTTCTCAGCATGGCTACGTTCCAGCTCCCTTTCCCATTGAGTTCACGCACGCACCATGCCGAGCGTTTCTTTATGTGCAAAGCTACTGAACTGGAAAGGGATCTTTATTAGCATGTGAGCTCCAGGGCTACACTACCAAAGGGGGCAGTGCAAGCCAAATTGCACCACAGTACGGCACTGGGAAATTTCCTCTCCTCCTCCTCTCCCAGTGAAGCCCAGCAGCGTCTTGTAAAATGAAATGATCTCATATGTTTAATGCTGAAGATCCCTTGTTCTGATGAGCCTTCCTTGTGACAGGGTCACCCTGCACTTGCATTTCTGTAAGAAACCTCAGTCTCCCATGGCCCTTGCAGGCATAAAATCTGGTATTTTGAAGAGCAGTGCCCTTTCCTTTGTCTCAGTATTAGTTTGTTTGCTGGCTTTATGGCAAGCCTTTGCCTTCTGACAAGGAGCACCGACACACAAAAAAAGGAGCTCCAAAGCAGCATGTGGTGTTGGAGCGATGTTGTCAAGTTGGTTAAATTAGAGCTGTGCCAGAGGGAGGATTGCAACAGCCTGCTTGTTTGGTAGGGCTTCATGTATCTGGGACGCTCTGGATGTCTCATGACGTTGCTGTAGCAGAAGTCAGATAGGAGGAATGATAAAGTGGTCGATCAGCTCCTGATGTACCTCCTGCTCCCAGCCTTGCCCTGCAACCTTCTTTATTTCAGAAGTAACCAGAAGTTTTGTGCCTAGTGAACGAAGGCAAAAGGAAAGGGCAGCTTCTGGAGAAGATGGGACCAGAGAGAAACAGCAGTGTAGGGTGTGCAGAAAGCTGGGAAAGGACACTTGACTTTTGTTCTCGGAGGTTTGTGGCAGCAGGCACCTCATGCTTTAGCATGAGAGGAAAAATCTGTGGAGCAGACCTCCCAAAGCACCAAGGTGCCGCGGAGCTTAAGTGCCTTTGCAGCTGAGCACGGCCATGCAGAAGTGAGCACATGCCTGAGGGTCGTCAGTGGAGCACCCCTGTGGCTCCAACAGCAGAGAGCACCCAACTACATGATACCAAGTGGGTGTGGACAACCTTTTCAAGCTTAGTAGGAAGCTTACAGTCTGCATCCCATTTTGCTTCCTGGTAGCACTCAGCCAGTCCTTCTCTACCTGCCTTACCCGCTCTCTTTCTGCCCTGTGATGAGTTTTGCCTGGGGGCTCTGTGCTCGCTGCAGAGACCATGTGCCACCAAATGAGCAAAGGCAGCCAAAGCATTGCCAGTGGCCACACAGCTGGAGCTTGGCTGTTCTTTTGGGGTCTGTAAGGACTCCTGGCCTGGGTGACAATCACAGGTCCCCTCTTGCCCCTTCTGGCTGGCCATGACAGTGCATCAGCAGGGCAGATCTGCAGCAGAGCAGCATTTTGTGCAATAGTGACAGCACGGCTGCCTTGAGCTATAGTTACTGGGACAGACTTTTAGTTACACATCTGTCTGTGTGACAGCCTGACCCTGACATTTCTGAGTGGGGTCTTCTTGTCACTGTGGGTGACAGTAGTATTCTCTTGCCTGGCAGTATTGCCTCAGATAGAATCACAGAATCATAGGATCGTTTAGGTTGGAAAACACCTTTAAGATCATCAAGTCCAACCATTAACCCAGCACTGCCAAGTCCACTGCTAAACCATGTCCCTGAGCACCACATCTACAAGTCTTTGAAATATCTCCAGGGATGGGGATTCAACCACGTCCCTGGGCAGCCTGTTCCAATGCTTGACAGCCCTTTTGGTGAAGAAATTTTTCCTAATACCCAATCTAAACCTCCCCTGGCACAACTTGAGGCAGTTTCCGCTCATCCTATCGTTTGTTACTTGGGAGAAGAGACCAACACCCACCCCACTACAGCCTCCTGTCAGGCAGTTGCAGAGAGTGATAAGGTCTCCCCTCAGCTTCCTTTTCTCCAGGCTAAACAACCCCAGGTCCCTCAGCCACTCCTCGTCAGACTTGTGCTCTAGAACCTTCACCAGCTTTATTGCTCTTCTCTGGATGTGCTCCAGCACCTCAATGTCCCCATTACACAGGCCTTGCAGGCACTGGTGGATAAGCAGGGACGGCTGAGCCTGCCAAACAGGGTGTGTTTTATTTGTCTGGAATACCATGAATAGACAAAGAAGGGTTAAAATAACAGAAGGTTGAAAACTCATTATCTCTGGGAACTGTGATCTTTCCTTTTTGGGTAGGCAGGTTCCAAGGGACCCTGTCCCCCCAGATAGTGGAAAGGTCACCCTCCCATACCTGATTGCCCCACAGCTTTCCCCAGCAGCCTGTCCAAACAAGGCTGTTTTCCTTTCAAGCCCTTTTCCTTCCTTCCCTTCCCCTGGACTTGTCTCCTTGCACAGAGCTGGCTCCGGCCCCGGATGGTGCCGGGGGCCCAGGGCCCAGGTGAGCTGTAACCAGAGATGCTCAGTTACTGCAAGCCTGAAGCCTACTTAGCTGAGGGCTGCAAATGAGAGGCTCAGACATTCCTGAGTTTGCCCTGATCAGAAATATTGTTGAAAGTGGCCAAAGCCACATTTTTGCCCAATTTTGCACTGTCTTCTGTGTTTCTTCTCTAGCAACTTGGCAGTGTGATGCCCTTTCCTCAAAATGCAGGACCAGGTGGAGCTGTGCCCGAGATAGCCACCGTCCCTTTGCCTCAGAGGTGTTTTCTGATACTCTAGCAGAAAAGCTTTGGGAAACCTGGCCCAGAAAAATGGCTTTGGGCAGTTCCCAGTTCCTCCTTCAGTTCCCTAAACCAGAGCAGCTCACCTGGGGGACTCTGGTTATGGACAAGTGACCTTTGCCTGTGCCACAGCAAGGCGATCGTTTGCCTCCCCTGGGGAGGTGGCTTGTTTCTTGCTCACCTCCTGCTCCCGTGGGGTAGCTGCCATGTGCCATCATAGCATCTGGAAAGGCTGGAGCTGCAGCCTGGCTTCATGGATCTTGGCAAGAAGAAACATCCCCAGCTAGCCCTGCTAGCCCTGCCTTAGGCAACAGGCTCCGGAATGGATCTGAGGAATCTGCTGAGCTGTAGTGAGATCAAAGCTTGCAGGAAGGGGTTGTGGTTGAGAGCATAAGAGGTTGCCATCTGGACAGTGGCACGAATTGTGATGCTTGTACCACGGACACGAGTGATAGATGCTGTCGCAGGAGTGTATGTTTCAGAATGGCTTTCAGAGCTAGGGGCATAGAAGTCAAGGAAGATGAGCTGGATTTGGCCTCAGCCTGGTACTCTGTTCTTAACTTGGTATCTGAGATGGTGAAATTTTTGATGATTTCATGGTATGCAGTTTTATTTGGGTCAGTGAGAGCACAGCATATGACTTTTCTACCCTTTAGGGGAGGGAAAATCAGTGCACCATCTAATGATTCAGCACACAGGGTTTCTTAACAGCCTATGGGAGAAAGATGTTTTAATTCTGTATTCATTCTTGAATAAGCTGTTCATTTGAGTTAGCAATTTCCTTGGAGACCAGAGGAGAGGAGTCTGTGATCAGATGGAGTGGCTCCACACTGCTTTCTCTGCCTTTCCCTGCTTAGAAAGGTTGAGCTCATCATAATAAACCTCCTTCAATGATTAGCCCTTGTGATGGTCTTCCCAGAACGTTTCAAGACTCCTGCGTGATCCAGCAGCAGTAACAGCCCTGCTGTTAGTAATCTCTGTGACCCCAAAAATGCCAAAGTGCTCAGCGTGTAAAGACCGCAGCCACCTCCTCCAAAGGATGCTGCCTCTCCTACCCAGCCTGCTGGCTCCTGGTCAGGGTCTGCAGCCCTTTTGCAGAGCCCAGGGGCTGCACCTTGTGGCTGTGGGAGCTGGTGGGACACTGGTCTGGGGGCCAGCAGCCTTCCCCTGGGAAATGAGGGTCTGCTTGGATGTGCAGGGCTATTGCAGGGCTCAGCCCCGTGCTGTTTCCTAGGCAGTTCAGCGTATAAAATCACTGGAGACATTTTCAGCAAAAAAGTCTCCCTACAGAATTGTTCTGTTGCTTGTTGAAAGAGGATTAATTTTTCCCCCTTAAATAAAATGAGCCGTGTTTGAAATCTGAAAGCCCTTGCTGAACGCCTTCTTGGAGCTGCGAAGAAAACAGGTTCCAGGTCACATCATAGCCTCCTGCCGGACGCAGATCCAAACTGCAAACCCTTCTAAACAGCTCTTTAATAACTCTGTACAGAAGGGAAAATCTGTCACCTTTCCCTCTGTGGTTTCTCCTCTGTTCTAATGCACTGGAGGAACGAGATGGAGCCGGGAAAGTTTTCAGGGAAAGACTCGTGGGAACTACAGCTGCCGATGGAGAAGACTCATTTCTTTAGTGTCTGAGGGGAACCGCAATCGCTTTGGTGAAGGCTGGTGTGTGTGGGTGGGTTTGGAGGGGTGAACCGTTATGACCCATGCATTTCAGAAGAACCACAAACACTTTATAGTAACAAAGGGTGGAAAAAGCGAGAGGTTTCTGCAATGCATGTGACTTTTCCCTGAGGTTTGGAACCCCACGGTATGTTCCAGGCCACGGTGTTTGCGTGTCAGTGAGTTAAGCTTTC